CACACACACACACACACATACACCCACCATTGGGTTTTATCTCGTTGCTTCTTTCTCTCACTTTTCATGCCTAATAAAATATTATAATAACTTGTTTATAAAAAAAAAAACAAATAATAAAATGATGGTACACCTTCTTATCGTATTGAATTAATTTTGACGACATGTCAAAATGTGTAGAGTCGGTTACTCTCTTTCTACTTAACACTTATTCTGATATTATTTTCAATAATTACGATATAATATGAACGTAATGAAGAAATCAATATATTTGATATTCATCTCTAAGACAGCATCGTTCGATCGAGTGGAATATTCAAATCGTCCATTAACTATTTCGTTATAACAGAAAATGTCGGCAAAAGCCACTTATTCCTTATCTTATCATTGCATATTACATATTTTATAACGAATTCCCATAAAAAAAAAAGGAAACAGAAAAGAATGCAAATCGAGAAAAAAGTGGAACGATTTATCACAATTTGTCGATCGCTCATCGAACTGCGAATGCTAAAGTTGGAATAACGAGATTTGAGATTCATTAGAGGTATTTCAGGGCAATGTTAATTAAAGTCAAAGGAGAAATAAGGATATCAAAAAGGGACAATCAAGAGAGGAAACGTTTATGGATATTAAAATGAATAAAAGGAAAATGAGAATATTAAAAAGTTCGTATAATTAGTTTGCTACTCGCAGTCTCGTCAAAATATGAGTGTACTTACCGATCTTTGGATGTAATTAAAAGAACAATTGGCGAATCAGTACATGCTAGAAAGAGAAAGAGAGATAAATTTTATTCTTTAATTGTCGAGAAAACATTTCTTTGCATTTAATATCCTATCCCGAACGTATCGTTTTGATTAATCATCGACGGATTCTCAGGGAAGAAAGAAAAACGAGCTGTTTGTTCGAAGAAATAAAAGTAAGAAAAGAAAAATAGAGAGAGGAAGAGGGGTGGGGGAGAGAGAAAACAAAAGGAGAAAAATAAAGAGAGTAGAGTAAGAAAATAGTCTGGCGAAAAGATTATTATTTTATGCAAGACGAGGCCGCTGAAGAAAAATAGTTGACCTAAAGTAAAGTATGCGGAACGTGAGATGCTATTCTGAGATGAAAAATTGTTTCGTTGAAAGTGTTTCGAAGGTTTACTTCCTGCTAACGAAATCATCCGAAAAAGTATACATACTTGTTGTTTCATATATTTTTTGAATAATAAACTTAACAAAGGAAATGTGCAAATTTGACGTCTTCGATTGAGAAAGTATTTATTAATAAATAATACGTTTGACATCTAAACCTAAAGCCTCCCTAGGCCTGGATCGAATAATCATGAACACAGTGTGGGGCTTGTAAAACAATACAGCTTTGAAAATTACGAATTCGTATTGACGAAGCAAATTAATGAAGTAATCGTTCTAAATGGCACCATTCGAAATAGGCTACAAATAGACTCCACGTAGTATCGTATATGTCTCTTAGTAGGAAATATCCGTATGTGTACAACGGCGTACAAAAGTTTCTTAAAAACAAATGGGGAAACTTGCATTACATCATCGGGTATTTGTCAAACGTCTTACTACGTGTTTCCGAATAATTGAAACTCATCAACGAAAAAGAAAAAAAAAAAAGAACTAGTTCCACACCGATACGAAATTCGTCGTTTCGCGCAATAGACAAAAAATACAATGATCCAAAAGTTTTGCACGCCACTGTATATACATACGTATATACATCGTCAAGTTTATGTGCAAAAGCACAGGTAGGAGCCAAGTTACCGCCACATATATAATTGACAGCAATACGTAATGTTCGATAATTTCAAGTATACAACGTTAATTGCAATATCCCATGGGTTAATCTCATCCGTGGTACCCACCGCCAATTCCTCGTGTCGCCTAACGCTGAGTTACAATTGAATCTAACGATGATCATTCCCCTTTCCTACAGTCTATGTTCCAAACGTTCTACACTCTATCCGACATGGGATTTAAGTCTCCAGCGAATTTCATTCAATAGTACCATTTCCATATTTCGAACTAATCCATTTGATTGTCTCTAATAATTCTTTATAAATATTTTCATTTTACAGATAAGAAAAATGTTCATCGTTTGACAATATACCATCATCGAGGAGTATAAATTAGTGTGAAAGAAAATTTTGCGTTCCAATAATCAACGACTTGTATGTAATATGCTAATCTTACTTACAAAGTCATCATTCGAGATGAATAATTATTGCAGCTTAAAACATATACTTATCGAGAGTTTATTTAATATAATATTAAGAAAAAATGTAAGAGTAATTTTGCAAGCACCGTGACTAAAATGAGTACTACGGTCTATCATTACTTAAACGATCGTTACTGAAGATTTTGGTAGAACTTGTGCATCTATTTATTTATGTAATACGGGAGTCCGTGTTTATCTCCGTGGTAGAAGATAGAGAAGATGGAAGGGCTACGATCTTGTGGACTACTGTCTTTATCTCGATAAGATTCTCGGGTCAGCTGGGGGAAAAGTTGATTGCCGCGAGTTTCAACGTTTACCATGAAAATAAATAGATAATGGTCGTTACCAAGTGGAGGGGTATAAATCTTGATATTCGTTAATAGCCGCGAATTGATAAAAATAAATCAACAGAGTGGTATTCGTTGGCAGTCAACGATCGTAGCCATTCCCATTTACGGCGGATTATGATAAAAGGAAACTGTAATCGTTATTATCGCGGAGTCGAACAAACAACAGGAGTCGAAGAAATATCGATACGAGTGCGGGTTCTAATGGAAAGTATCAAATCGATTGGTTAGATTTAAAGGATAGGGAGAGAGATAGGATGTAGCAGAAGGCAGGACATAATGCTGTCACCATCGCTGGTGCGATAGCATATTGCGGATTCGAACGAACGCGGTAGCGAAAGGTTAGGAGGCGTGAATAGACGTTTTTCACGCGGTCCGCTGATTCGATTGAGTGAGATCGCAAGTAGGGGAACAGGTTCTTACGGGGCTCTTTCCTACCACCACCGAGAGAACGCGCTTAACCAACTCTTAACTGGACGACCTGGCTGCGAACGTTTAAACATATAATTAGTGTTAATAGCTAATCGAGAGACCAGTCTCCTGCTACCTCCTTTAATTAATGCATATCTCTTTCCACGGATCGAAGTAACCCTGGGTGGGCCTTCTGTTACTTTCAATGAAATTACGATTTAATAACGAGTTGTCTCACTGTAACATGTTGCAGTGTATCGTGCAGAAATATCATAAGGATGATGAATCTTAATATAATACATATATATATATATATATTATTGTGTTATGTTATAAGATAAATATGTTAATAATGTTGAGCGTCTATAGGGTTTCCTTGAAAATTTTAGGTAAGCCTAATGGTACTATTGCAGTATTGGTGTAAGAAATTGCATGGAAAATTGCTATAGCGATTTATATAATAATACTTTTCAAACTCGATATTCTTGTAGATTCTGGAAGATCCTTGAAGATTCTGTTTCTCACGATTGTATCTTGCGAAGATTCCTTTCCACAGAAATCCTTATTCGTCCGAGTAGTTGAGGATAATAAGCTATCAATAAGTCTCGCATGAGCTACGTCTTTACGTTTGATACGCGTTGACGTATCATCATAGATTACACGAAAGCTTTTTTCGAATGTAAGAAAAAGATACGAACGAATGGGAAGATACCTAAGTTTCTTCTCTCATATTCTAAATACATACGTACATACATGTTATACCTACGTGTTTTAGGTAGTAAGTTACATAGGTGCATGTAAGTACGTGGTAGCAATCATTATGCGCCACCCACACGGTGGAGGTCCGGGACGAGCGTCGTTCTAATGACGGCATAAATCACGTTTCTCCGCAGGAAGCATTTATCATCATCGAGATCCCTGAGTCTACTGCGTCCTGCTTTCTTCCAATAGCCCTCAGGTAGTTTTCGTTTAGTTTTCTTCTTCTTCTTTATGTCCTCCTTTCTTTTTTCCCTTTAACATCAAGCTCTTTATCATAGGAAAAAAAGAAAAATCTCCCACGAAGGCGCATCGTATCGTAAAGCATTCATTATTCGGGAAGAACCATTGCCCCTTTCTAACAACAATTCTTTATTCTAACAATAAAATATCAAGACAAAAATGAACATTATTTCATGATAATTCCGAATAAGCTTATATTAATATTGGTATATCCTTGATATATTAGTAATAGTACTAATTTATAAGTAACGCTGATTATTCAAAAAACAATTGGTTTCAATTGATTAGAGACAATGTCTGTATATTGAACAAAATATAAAAATGTTGGTTCATGTAAGATGAATCGTAGGTATTTTGGAAAGAATTTCTTCTAAAATGAAAGTCTCTCATTATTCCTATATTTTCTAACAATGTTAGAAATTGAATGTTCAGCGAATTGGCTATAACACCAATAAGTAAGCGTTTTCAAGTATATAGGAGGTGTACTCGTTTTACGTGTTTTGTTATTTTTCTTATTTCTCTTCTCGATCGTGGTATCACCACTTCAGCAACAAATTCTACTTATCGAAGAATATAAATTCACCGCTCGTATAAGATAGTTCCTTCTCTCGCGATTTTACTTCGTGATTTATTCACGAAGCAAGCTATGCTCGAATCTTGTTACTTCAAACAACGCAGGGGKGGGGGGGGGGAGAGGGAAAGAAAAATATCCTTGAGAAAAATACTTATATCCTTCAAAATAGTTATGGGTAAAGATAAATTATTAACTTGTTCTACCCTATGTATAATTGCGTTGTGCGTGCATAATTTATCAATTCGAAATTATATACACGTTTGATCGACACGATTCGGATTATTCAAATATCAGTATAGTATTTCTATAAAAAGATAAAATACTCGGCGCATTGCCGTGCCTAATCCTAAATTAGGATAAGATAGGAACAATTTGAAGCCAGTTAATATATTATATTATATTTTAACATGGCATATATAGTTTAACTAAGCCGATGATTAATTAGACTTTGGGGAAAGAAACGATTTTGCAATATCATTTAACAAGGAAACTTACTCTTTGACCAAGGCAAACGGATATTGTATAGCACTGTATATATGGGACTTATTATATAAATCAAAGGAAAAAATCGATGTACTTTTAATGACAATTAAAGAACTTAATAAATGATAAAACTCAGAGTAGAAACTAATGACTAATTCGATAATAAATTGATTGAATTATCTTGATATACTGTTGGAACATCTAAAAGAAATTCAAAGAACAATACCCAGAATAGTTAGGTATAGCGACAAAAAGATCTCTAAGGAGAGATATAAGGTATGTTTCGTTGATCGAAGTTGGAGAAAGAGAAGAGAAAAAGTTGAAAGAAGAAGGCGAGAAAAAAGAAAGTTTGGTAGGTAGGCGAGGAAGGGGGCGAGGAAGGGGGCGAGGAAGGGGGCGAGGAAGGTGAGAAGAACAAGTCGTCTGGCCCCATACAGAGCTGAGTCATGTTCTTGGGCCTTTGAAGGGGAGAAGAAGAAGGCCTGTCCCTTTCACGGCCTTTTTCTTCTTTGTAAATACCATAGTCGTCGAGATTGGCGCCGTGATTTTTCACGGTCCCCCGTCGACGACTAGACGAAATAGCGAACGAGTGTCTGCTATTTTTCTACCTTCTCGCCTACCTTCATCTTACTTTTTATTCTGACTTTTTATTCCAATTCTTAGATCGAGATATACCCGGAACGACCCTGATCGCAATTATCGCCCTTTGCGTCTGGCCTTCGCATCTGGCCTTCGCATCCGGCCTTCGCATCCGGCCTTCGCATCCGGCCTTCGCATCCGGCCTTCGATGCAAAATCGTTCATCTTATTTAATATATAATCAGTTTAAATTAATTTGACGAATCAAGCAATGAAAGTGAGAAAAAAATCCAAAATGATATAATAAGAATGGACAAATATTATGTGTAGCGCATGATTTGGAAGATAATTTATCGAATAAAAATAATTTGTTTATTTTTTATTTTGAAAAAGAAAAATAAATAGAGAAAATATTGTCTGCGGGTAAGACGAGACACCGAGCTGGTTTTGCGTTTCAGGCGGGTGTGCTGCACAGCGTGGATGGCGAGTTCTGGCTGGAACCAGTCGCCGTCACCGCATTATCGAAGAAAGGGGAAGAGGTGGAAAAGTTGGAAAGACACGAGAGAAGACGGAGAAGTTGTTGGATCCGCGTACCGTCAAAGGTGCTCGACGGCAAAGGTGCTGCCGCTGCAGCTGCTGCTGCCGCTGCCGCTGCCGCTGCTGCTGCTGCTGCTGCTGCTGCTGCTGCTGCTGCTGCTGGTCGTCCTCACCTCGTTTTCCGGCGAACTGCCGAGAAACGAACGCGTGAAATTGGCACCGGTTTGCCACCAACTCGAGGACCCAGACGCCGGCGCAAAAAGAAAAAGAAACAAGAGAGAAACTGCGGCACTCGCGGTGAGATGATATTCTACTACTTTTCCTCTTTTAATTGCATCAAATTCCATTTTCCTGTCGAAAAAAAGAAAAATAACCTTTTTATAATATGTCTTATGTTAAATGAATACTTACTTATTTAGAAGATATTTATATTCGAAAATAACCACTTATTTAACATATTTTCTAACAACATTAGATTTCATTGCTTACATCGTGTTAAGAATGAAAAGAAGACAAGTATCGAGAACATTAAATTCCAAATTTCACGAGGAACTAATAATCTCGAGTTTCGAGATATAAAGGCAAGCAGTCTGCCTGGCAGTCTGTCTGGCAGTCTGTCTGGCAGTCTGTCTGCCAGTCTGTCTGCCAGTCCGTCTGCCAGTCTGTTAAAGAATATATTTATTTTAGTTAGAAGAAGTTATTTTTGTCGCTTCGCACGAGTGTCAAATGAAATCTTAATTACAGTCTCGGGCGGCGATCGTTCAATCTGCATAAATCAGCGTCCGGCAAAGGCGCCGAACGCGCGCACTCTATTAGCGCGAAATGTTCTTTTATCAGGATCATTCGAAGGCCCTTGACACGCTACTCGATTAATATAAGCCAACGTTAAATACCTCGTTATAACTCCCATTCGTCAATAAGATTTACCGCGTGCGTTTCCGTTACACGCTCTCTCTTAGTTTAAGCGAGTATTTTAAAGAAACATGATTGCTTCGATTTAACCCTCTTAGAAACTTGACACCGAGACCAATTTAATTGATCCTCTATCTGCATATATCATCAAATATAGTAAAAATTCAAATGACTTGCCTTATTTATAAACGCTTTATAAAAAATAATCTATTTTGTAATATAAATTGTTGTAATTATTTCGAGTAAATATTCGTTATTTCGAGTGTCCGCCACCGCGTTGGGTATAATTGTTGTACGATTAATGAAAATCTTCACAGAACCAAGGCGATTGACGGAGACTCGTCTCGAGTGGCAAACGCAGCCTGGTCTGGTTCAAGTTCAGGGTCGAGGTCGAAAGAAGCATCATCATCCAACGAAGCATCATCCAACAAAGTGGTGGCAACGTTCCAAGAGATCGATCAGTAGGCCACGTCACGTCGAGGCACTCGTAGTTGCAGATACAACGATGATGGCTTTTCATCAGGACGGCAACGTTGACACTTATCTTCTGACGATTATGAACATGGTTTCCTCGCTCTATCTTGATCCTACCATTGGCAACTTTATTAACATAGTCGTCGTCAGAATCATTCTCGTTGAGGACGAAGAAGCTGAGGTATGCAATGATGATTCAATGTTCAATGTGAATACCTAATTGAATTATCTTTCGTATAAATCAATTCTCAATGAAATCCACTTTCAGAATAGTTCTTTTTATTTTCGATTTGAATGTCAAAGCATTTTTAGTTATGATAAATAACATCACTTATGCGCGCGTTTATCTGCGTTAGCCGGACATCACAGTAAACGCGGACAAAAGCCTCTACAATTTTTGCAAATGGCAGCAGAAACTGAATCTAGGGGACGATACGCACCCGAATCATCACGACGTCGCGATTCTCGTGACGAGAGAGGACATCTGCTCGAGAGCAAATACACCTTGCAGTACGTTGGGAGTGGCCCACGTGGCTGGCATGTGTCAACCCGATCGTAGTTGTAGCGTCAACGAGGACAACGGTATCACCCTCGCGCACACAATCACTCACGAACTTGGACATAAGTAAGACGATTCAAAGACGATTCAGAGACGATTAAAAGACCTTTCTTTGCGCGTGATATTTATTTTTACTTAAAAAAGAGTAAATATGCCTCATTGCAAGGTTAGAAGAAATCCGTAACGTAACCTTATTTAATATGTAATATCTGCACGAATTTATAACAACGCGTAAACATTGCCTATTGCCGAGATTTTCCATCATATTAACATTTTATATGGTATGCGTGAATTTAAGAGGAGATTCCAGGTAAACCGACCGACATTCTTTATGCCAGGGACATATAATTTATCTGAAGATCTTGTTCTATGAGTAATGTGTTTTATTGCATTTGGAGCGGCAGTAATTTAATCGTTTTAAGGTTAAATTACATATATTATTTATATTAATTATATATATATATATATATATATAGGCCTACCTAGAGGCCCATTTCATTAGAAGCCCATTATCGATTTCATAAAGTATTTTAACGGAGAACGGGAAACGGTTTCCCTTTTTTATGTTAGGGACTGAATCGAATGCATGACCCACATTCCGATTAGGAAGAACTCCTCTTTTTATTTCATTCTACGTGGAAACAATGTCTATTGTGCATTTAGAAGAACGGACGATGATACTTAAATGTTGATATTTTACCATTTATATCAAATACTGATGAAAAATATGAATAAATAGTAGCCACAATGAGAGTAATAGTTCTTTACATGTTATTTATTTGACGCAAGTAAAAGGAAAGATTCATTTTGTTCACAATTTATCGAATTATAATCATAGTAGATTTTTGATCTCGCTGCTTTAGCTTTGGGATGTACCACGACACGGAAAAAATCGGTTGCAGTAAACGCGATGGTGATACTTTACACGTCATGACGCCTACATTCGAAGTGGACACTGTTGGTGTCGCTTGGTCGAGATGCTCCAGAAGAGATATTACCAATTTTTTAGAGTAAGTATCTCTAACTACAAATAATCAAATATCTATATATAAATTTGATAGTTCACATATTAACGGTCAATGAATTTATTAACCTACCAATAGAATATATTTGATCAGAAAAATTAGCCAAATAATTATTGTTTTTATAAACTGTTTGTCTATTGCATATATAGTCCAATTGGAATAATTACGAAACAATAAAAAAAAATGATTTTAGTCAAGGAAAAGGTGAATGCCTAAAAGATGAGCCTACAGTCCAACCCACTCAGTATCCTTATCCGGAACTACCACCAGGAGCTATGTATAATGCTGAACATCAATGTAGACTTCAATTTGGCGTCAAAGATGCATCGGTCTGCTCTCCTCTGCAGGAGGTAAAACGTAATCGACACTGAGCTATTCGTGAGCTTTTCGTTAAAAGAAAGTAGTATTAATTGACGATTACTTATAATATTAATTCAAATTAATATAATAAGTAATAAAATATACCTATCCATTATATATTCGTCTAGATTTGTTCTAAATTATGGTGTATCGTCGATGGTTCCTGTACAACCATGTTACATCCAGCTGCACCTGGAACTCATTGTGGAAAACATATGGTATACCTATGTCTTTAAGCCATTTTATTTGGATTTTTTTGTTTAACTAACAAAACACAAATTGTTATTCATTGTGAACAAATGAATAATTAATAATTCTCAAATTTCCCTATAAAGGGAAAAAATGAAGATAAGGCAATTTCGAACCGAACCGAAACAAAAAATAATAATAATACTAATAATTAATGAAAAAGATTTAATTTAAAGAAAATGAAGAAAGAAAGTTATTCATATTGTTCAGTGGTGCCAAAATCAAAAATGCGTACCGATCGTCGATCGATCGCATCCAATCGACGGCAGTTGGGGCGAATGGGGTTCCTGGAGCGAATGTTCGAGAAGTTGCGGTGCCGGGGTGTCGATCATTGAAAGGAAATGTGATCACCCGGAACCAGCGCACGGTGGAAAATTTTGCATCGGTGAAAGACGCCGATATAAAATTTGCAACACTGAGCCTTGTTCCGAAGGAACTCCCACTTTTCGTGCAGTCCAGTGCACCAATTATGATGGAAAAGAATACAAAGGAAAAAATTACACTTGGCTGCCTTACTTTGATCAAAGTAAGTTTAATTTCTTTTTTCTGCGGTCACTTTCTATATGAGATGTAATCAATATATTAAAATACATAATTAATATCCATTCTTCCTGTATTAACATATTTTCATAGCCGAACCATGTGAACTTTACTGCACTGACATAGAAGAAAGCGTGATTGTTCCTTGGGGTGAAGCTGCCCTTGATGGTACGCCCTGTAACGTCGGTACTCGGGACATGTGCATCGCAGGAATATGTAGAGTCAGTATTCTTTATTTCATTTCTTTACAATCGGGATAAGTAATAATAACTCTTATCAATTCTCAGAAAGTCGGCTGCGATTGGACCGTTGATTCTGATGCCACGGAAGACCGATGCGGTATCTGCCATGGCGATGGCACACAGTGTGAGACTACTAATGGAATTTACGACAAGAACGATGGGCCAGGATACAAGGAAGTCATTGTAATTCCTTACGGATCACGTAATATCAAAATAGAAGAAATTGGAAATAGTAAAAACTACATTGGCATTGGAGTACCAAAGTCTGACAAGTACTTCCTTAATGGAAAACGGTACGTAAGTGTACGGTAATAGAAACAAAGGATTATCAATCTCTTACCTGATAAAGATATCTGATAAAGATTTGTTCGAACTGAAGTCTAACGCCAGGATACTAATTGGACAGGCAGATCACTCTAGCAGGAGAATACGAAGTTGCCGGAACTCCGGCCCTCTACGAACGTGAACGGGACAGGGAAAAGATTAGGATACCTGGCCCTATCAAAGAAGACATTGCGATTTACGTAAGTACGATCATCCTTGAGAGAATATCAAAATTATTTCATTGTCTATATACTTGTTTCTTCAATCACAACCGAGAGTTCAAACAAATATCCTTGTCGAATATTCAATAAAATACCATCGTTTCAGTTAATTTACAGGGGACACTATCGGAACTTTGGCCTGCGTTACGAATACACAGTACCAAAAAAGGAACCTGATCGTGCCCCGGAATATATCTGGATATTTTCCGATTGGTCGTTGTGCACGGTAACCTGTGGTGGTGGTACGCAAACGTCTCAAGCTCTCTGCCAAGAAAAAAAGAGTGGTGCTGTTGAAGAACACTTTTGTGACACTACGATTAAACCCGAAGCAAAATTACGCGAATGTAATTCAAATCCTTGCCCTGCCAGGTCAGTATGAATATCTTAAACTGTGTTTCAAAATATTCCAAGGAGTGATTTTAGTAAGGCCTGGCTCTCGTCAGCCAACCTGTGTGACCATCTGCGCGTGCATTTTAGTTGAATCGTATAAATCCGATCGAAAATATTTTAATATAGCATTCCTTTCCTAGATGGTGGGTAGGCCCATGGCAAATGTGTCCTGTGACCTGCGGCAAAGGTGCTTTGCGTAAAAGATCAGTCATGTGCGTGTCATCGGGTACAGGAACGGACCGATCTGACCTAGCTTTACCAGACAAAGATTGCGACAAGAATACAAGACCCGAGGAAGTAGGTCCTTGTCAAAATTTACCACCATGTGAACCATCCTCGGAAATACCTTTGATAGTTTATACAGAAAACAAAGACGCGTCATTTTACAATGTCAGCTCGAACGATCACGATGGTATTACATTAGACGATGGTCTGACCACCCCGGAACCAGAAATCCTTGAATTCGACAATGTCTTCGATGAAAATCCAAACAATTCGATGTACAATACCAAGTCGAAGTGGACTGTTTCGAGATGGAGTCATTGTTCTTATGGAAAGAGAAACAGAAAAGTCACTTGTTCGAATCCAGGAGATTGTAATCTGGATGACAAACCTATCAGCGTAGAGAATTGTCACGAGGGAAAGTGGATCGTCGGTAAGATTCTATATAATCGTACTTAATAATGATGATCTTCTTTCTTCTTTTCAGCGATTGGTCAATCAAAGGAAGGTGCATCATCATTGACATCACTCTTATGCCACACATATTGAGATAGATACTACATTCTCTCCATAAACGTCAGAGATTTTTTTCTGATTTTTATTTTCTTCAATTTTCTTGACTTTTCATTTTATGGAGTTAACTGATTTAGCATACGAGTGGCAGGCACTCTGCGAACTTCTTTCATAACACTGTAACGTTTTCAGGAGATTGGGGAGCATGCAATGCGACTTGTCTTATAAAATACGGAGTCAAAAGTAGAGAGATTGAGTGTCGTAATCAAATAACAAACTTATTATCTAGTGATTGTAACTATGAAAGAAAGCCAATTGGTAGCAGACGATGTTACTATAGAAAACAATGTAACAACGATAAAGATGGTAATTATATTTATTTAATTACATTAAGAAGTACCAAGTCTCTTTTATTAGGCTTTCCATTTAGGCCACTATGATCTGTCATTCATAGAAAAATATAAGAATGTTAACCATAAATGGCCAGGACGGATAGTCTAAATTTGGTCCATAGAGACACCAGCGTGGCATTTAATCTGTTAATCCAAATTTAAATGTTTAAATAATTGATCGATGATCCTCTCATTTCTCTTCGTAGATTGCAAGGACAGTATAATACCTTTGTCAATGTGTGCCACTTACAGACGCATGTGCGACGTTTCCTCGATTGTACGACAAAAATGTTGTGCCACTTGCTTCAAAAAACGTAAACATATACGTCATAACAGACGACACGCGTTTTTGTAACTCAATTAATGATATCCTTATAATGTTTAAATTAATCTTGTTAAAACGACGTCGTAGCCTTTACTACTTTTCTTTTCCTTTGTTCTTTTTTTTATTTCTCAACGTTATCTGCTTTTGACATTATAAAAATCAATGTTAATATTTCAAATCATAAATAAATAACATCTTGAACAGCAGAAATTTATTATTGATGTGCCATTTTATCTGTATCCATATAATTTTAATAAAAAGATGACAAAAATATCATATATTTTCTATAGAAATGTTCAAATTAATATTAGGGAATTCTTGTTTAAATGTTATATAATTGTGTTTTAATTATTATTCAATTTGTAAATACATTATCTTATGATAATTTTAAATAACACAGCATCGTTACAGCTAATTCCAACTATAATAGAATATAATTACTTTGCCATCTTATTTCTTTCTATAATTTTTGAGATTATATGAAATATATATAGGTGTTCCCAAAATCGATACAGTAAGTGCTACTCCAGCGAGAATTTTTTCCTGAAACAAGAAAATTTTAGAGAAATAATTCAATGTGTAAGAACATTTTATCTTATCTAAGAAGTTCGTACAATTTTCAAAAGTAATATCTATGCTAAAATTCGTAGCAGCAAATATTACTTAATTTAACTCTTTCGTTACTATCGACCCATATAGTGGTCGTCACCCAAGCAAAATGTCTTTAGTATACATTTACTGTATGCTGTATGCTGTAACGAAAGGGTCAAAATTACACTTGGCTACAAATTATTAGATAGATAACGTGGGACTAGTATATTAAATATAACTAAATGTTATTTATATAAATATATACATATATATATATATATATATATATANATATATATATATAAATATTAATTTAATAAACTTTATATACAAAGGACTATCATTATCTTTAATATTACAAATTACGTAACGTTGCAAATAAGAAATACTTACAATTAATGACACTTTGACTAACGGAGGTAAATCAACTATGCCAGATCTGTTCCGTTGCTGTACAATTTGTTTTGCCAATCGTGCATTTCCAATTGCCTTTTGAAAAACAAACATCTTGCTTTTTATTAAAGATTCCAGGTATCGATTACAACTTCTACGTTTCACAAAAGGTTTAAAACGACGGCACGAAGAAATGTAACGATAGATAAACCACGTATACTACAATACGATTCGTATATGCGCTCGACTTGCTCTCCTTATGAAGTAATTAAATGTTAGGATAAAATTGAGATCGACCAATCGCATTACTTTACAAGATATCTGCTTCGTGATTGGGCCACCCTATGCTGGAACCTAGCAATGACAAAAAATGAATTAAACACGAAGTTTGTAATATTTATTTAAATACAAATTACAGACCTATAGAACAATCTTTAGATTAAACAATTATTAAAATTACCAAATCATAGCTGCATTTTGAGGTTCTAAAGGAAAAGATAAAAATTATTAACTCGTTGTTAGATAAACCATTAAAAAACATTGTAAAACAACAACGAGAAATAAAAAATAACCAAATATCTATCTAGAAATAAAGTTACAATTTTGGTATAAATACAAATTTGCGCAAATTAGATTTATTTTATTTCAAATCATTGTAGCTTTTTATATAATTTGAACCAATTAAATTATTTTTTTGTTCTTACTTCCTTGTAATCACCAATTACGTCTTTCTGTAGTTATTCCCCATTTATACAAATGAAGAGTTTTTAATAGAATCAGTTTGCAACACTGCGTGAGTTCATTGGCGTACTCACACTAAACATAGGATATGTCAAAATTTTGTGATGGCGGCGATGTTAAAGGTTAGTTGTCACTAAATAAATATTAGTTAAAAATTGTTCAAACATATAATTGATTTATCTTTTAACTTATATTAGAATTTTTCATCTTTTATATTATTAGAATGGGATTATATTTTGTTAAACGTATGTAACGTTTAAATATAGGCACAAATTTGTTCTTCTCTAACGGCCAATTTTTGAGCTTAACTTTATTTTTAATTTTGTTTATTCATATTACAATTTTCAGATCTTCCGTATGCATTTTAAATAAGAATTATGTTTTCAACGAGCACAAAACTTTATATAAATATAATAATATTAAATAATTATAAATTAGAGTGAGTATATATAAGAGAGAAAGAGGGAGAGGCAAAGGGAGAGGGTAAGGAATAGGGAAAGGGAAAGGGATAGGGATAGGGATAGGGATAAGGATAGAAATAGAAATAGAAATAGGAATAAAGAGAAAGAAAGAGAAAGAAAGAAAAAGAAAGAAAAAAGAAAAAAAAGCTTCATATAAAATACGTTACTCTTAGTATTACTTATACAATACAGTTTTATCATTCTCATCATTTAATTGTGTCATTATCAAAAATTGGTACTAGCAATGAATGTGGGTTGATTAAAAGGATTCGTGCATTGATTTATATATAAATACAATAAATAATATAATTTAGTAACTATAAATGTATTTTCCAGGATAAGACTCAATTTACATTTGAAGATAAATGGCCATGTATGCGCCCTATAATATTGAAACTTCTCAAACAAGAACCAGTAACGCAAACAGAATGGCAAGATTTGTTTTACTCTGTTCACTTGGTATGTATGTGGATCGAAAAGGGACCTACAAAGTTACGTGACGCTCTTAAAGAAGACATAATGGATTTTATAAAGCAAGCTCAGCAAGTAAGCAAAATTATAATATATTTTCATTAAATTAATTTTTTTCATGAAATGTTTACTTTGCATAGAGAGTATTAGCGCATCAAGAAGAGCAAGCATTATTAAAAGCATATATAGCCGAATGGAGAAAGTTTTTTACACAATGTAATTATTTGCCAACGCCATTTCGACATTTAGAAACATATCTTGCTGGAAAAACTAGTTCTAGTATTCAAAAGAGAAATCAGCCAGATGATATCGTTAGAAAAGTATGATTATTTTTAATATCTATTTATTGCGTATCGTTACCACGTTCCATGCTAAATTAATTTTTTATTACTTCCCATTCTGGTCGTTATTACGATTTTTACTTATTGTATATTTACTTTTGACGTATACCTTACAATTTTAATAACAGCACAAAAATGATAATTATTAAAAAAGGATATAATGTTTAAGATGCATTAGAATACATACTTTTATAAGAAAAATTGAAAAAATAACTTTTGAACGGAAAATTCAGCGTGGGGCATATACACCCCATGCAACGTATATGGCGTAGGAACGTGTTAACTAGAATGATATCATTTAAAAATATTATGCTTTTGATTTAGCTGATGTTAGATAGTTGGAATCAAAGTATATTTGGTGAGATAAAACAAAGACTCCAAGATTCAGCAATGAGATTAGTGCGTGCTGAAAGGAACGGAGAAGCATTTGATTCTCAATTGGTTATTGGTGTTAGAGAATCTTATGGTATAAATTATAATACATATTATATCTTTTATTGATTATATTTTCTTGTATTATTTTGATCTAGTAATACTAGTTTTTTTGTAAATATAATAAATAATTCTTATCTAACGTTATTGTTTACTTTTAGTAAATCTGTGTTCAAATACAGTAGACAAACTACAGATCTATAGAGAAAATTTTGAAGCTGCCTATATAGAAGCAACAGAAGCATTTTATTGGGTCAAAGCACCAGAGCAATTATCATTACATGGCGTAGAAAATTATATGCGCTATGCAGAATCCAAATTAAGGGAAGAAGAATTACGTGCGCAGAAATATTTAGAACCAAATAGTGCTAGCGTACAACTTTTAACCGATTGTTGTGTAAGAGTTCTAGTAGCAACTTTTAAGCCAGCTATTCTAGCAGAATGTCCACGAATGATACAACATCATCAGACAGATAGTAAGCATTCATTTTTTAATCATTATTATACTTTTTTATCTCTATAATTCCAGAGAGAATATTTTTCAAACTTTTGACCAATGATTTCAGAGCTTCGATTGATGTTAAAATTGATAGATAGAGTACCAGAAGGAGTAGGTCCTATGTTAAGAAATCTTGAAGAACACATAGCAAGTGCTGGATTAGCAGATATGATGGCAGCAGTTGATGTTATTACTCAAGACTCGGAAAAATATGTAGAAAGATTATTAGATCTATTTAGACGATTTTCTACTTTAGTTAAAGAAGCATTTGATGATGATCCACGTTTTCTTACTGCACGAGATAAAGCTTATAAACTTGTTGTTAATGATGCTACAGTTTTTAGACTCGAATTACCAGCTCGCCAAGGTTCTGGCATCGGTACAACTATTATAAACAATAAACCTACTAATAATAATAATGGACAACCAGAATCAAAATGTCCAGAACTTTTAGCCAATTACTGTGATATGCTTCTTAGAAAAACTCCATTAAGTAAGAAATTAACTTCTGATGAAATAGAAAGCAAATTAAGAGATGTGGTCAGTAAAAAATACAGAATTTATATTGTTCTTTCTTTTTTTTTTTTCTCCCTAGGGACAAACCTGAGTAATAATTAAATTTTATTAATATTTTTCATTTTCAGTTACTTGTTTTAAAATATGTACAAAATAAAGATGTTTTTATGCGTTACCATAAAGCACATTTAACACGAAGGCTCATATTAGATACGTCAGCAGATTCAGAAAAGGAAGAAAACATGGTTGAATGGCTTAGAGAAGTTGGAATGCCTGCAGATTATGTTAATAAACTAGCCAGAATGTTTCAAGATATTAAAGTATCTCAAGATCTCAATCAACAGTTTAAGGAACAATGTCGTGCTGCCATTGCAGATAGCATAAATATAAAGGTGATTATATTCATTGTTATATTTTATACGTAATATATTTTTTAACATGTATTATTTATATTATACATTATATTGATTTAATAGATAACGCATATCTTTTTGTATATAGATATTAAATGCAGGTGCCTGGGCAAGAGGTAGCGAAAGAGTTACTGTAAGTTTACCTTTACAACTAGAAGATTATATACCAGAAGTTGAAGAATTTTACAAAAAGAAACACAGCGGACGAAAGTTACAATGGTATCATCACATGTCAAATGGCACGGTAAGAATGTATACGTAAGCTTTACCAACAAATAAAATGAAAGAAAGTATAAATTTTGTTCCATACAAAATTATAAATCTAATCACGTTTTTATATATTATTACAATTAATTAATTGTAATTCTTTAATAGATTAAAATTCAAACACTTATTTTTAATTAATTCCATTTCAAATTAAATTATTTATATAATAGAATTAAATAATCACTTTGAATAATCAATTATATTATTTTCCTAACAATTTAGTATTCGTAACATTAACAAATATTAATTTAATCGTAACTATTAATTATTTCAATGTTTAATATGTATATATGTGTATAACTTGTGTATATGTATGTTGGCATTAATTTGTGAAATTCATTAATTCGTAAAATAGCTGTTACATGAAATAAACTGACCCGTTTATGTGTATGTGAAGACAGAATTACATACTCCAATTAGATACTATATGAATTTGCGAGAGATGAATAATTAAAGTATGAAATTGAAATATGATCTCAAGTATAAGAAAAATATTCTTCGATATTGTTTAAAAAAAAATACCTGCCCATACTGCACTGTTGTAAATCCACTGTTGTAAATTCACTGTTGTAACAGAAAAGAAATTGTGAAGGGATTAAATTACATTTCCTTCGAAAAAAAAAAAAAAAAAAACTATATAAACGAAAATAAAATAGATTACTTGTCTCTCGCGAATTCATATATTACCTAATTATTTCTTAAAACAACTAGTTTATATGAATTATACGATATAATATATAAATATAAACTTATGTAATACAAGAAAAATTTTATTTATTCAGTAACAAAGAGGGGTATTTTGTAATTTTTCACAAAGTACAATATCCCGATTCTAATTTTCAGCCTCATCTTGCAACCAATTTGGATGGTGTTCCAGATAACATTTTCCAACCAAGTGGGTCGATTCGATGTGGATGTTACAACATTTCAAATGGCTGTTTTATTCGCTTGGAATCAACGGCCTTTTGAAAAAATTTCTTATGAAAATCTTCGTCTTGCTACTGAACTTCCTGATCCAGAATTACGAAGAACACTTTGGTCGTTGTGTGCTTTCCCAAAATTAAAACGTCAACTTCTTTTAGTAGAACCACACGCATATAGTCCAAAAGATTTTGGAAACGATACAAGATTTTGGGTTAATCAAGAGTTTGCCATAGTGTTAGTATAATATATTATTATATCATATATTATTAACATATATTTTAACTTGTCTCTTTGTAATACGCTACAACGAATATCGATCGATCGATACGATGAACTTTTCTCAATACTTTCTTTATTTCTGTAATATATATATATATATATATACATATTTGAAACATTTTATTTACTTTGCAGAAAAAATGGAAAATTACAAAAAAGAGGAAAAATAAATCTAATAGGTCGATTACAATTGTCGACTGAAAGGAGTAAAGAAGAAGATAATCAATCAATTGTACAATTGAGAATATTACGAGTTCAGGTATTTTCATTATTTTTACAATTATTTTATTAGTATTTTTGACTCTGATATTAACACGTTTCGTGCCGGACTGATTTTTGATTAATTCGGTATGTGCAGTTTGAAAAAAACAATCTAAGCATTTTGTACAAGTTCTTCTCTTTACAAGAACAATTCCAACTGGCTTGAACGGAAAGTTCAACGTTGGTCATATACATCCCACCTGGCACGGAACGAATTAATAATATTTATACATACATATTTATAACTTTTTATGTTATACAAATAGGAGGCCATCATAAAGATTTTGAAAATGAGGAAGAAGATAAGTAATGCTCAGTTACAAACTGAATTGGTAGATATATTAAAAAATATGTTTTTGCCAAGTAAAAAGATGATAAAAGAACAAATTGAATGGCTTATAGAGCACAAATATATTCGTAGACACGACGACGACATTAATACATTTGTTTATATGGCGTAACACCGAGATATGTATCCATATAAAATTGTTCAAACTTCTATTATTAATATTATATTTTTATAAAAATTAAGTTTTTCTCGTGCAACAAATGTATACTTGAAGATAGTAAAAGATACAAAGATATGTGACATTCTTTGTGGACTACAAAAGAATTGAATTAAATTAAATTCAGAAAAACATTATGTGGAATTATAAATAATATAAGAAGTCATATCACTCCAATGGACAGGTATCCGAAAAAAAAAAAAACAGGGATAAAGCATATAGAAAGATCTATAAAGTATCTTAATAACAAAATAAGAAAAAAGAAAAAAAGAAAAAAAATACTGTGAACAAGTATGACAAATACGTATTATTTCGTTAGAGTTCTTCTGTAAACTTAATTGAAATGTGTTTCACAAATAACGTGTATAAAGTTTTTATTTCATTGTAATAAATTATTATTTACAATGAAATTGATTAATAATAAATATGAATAGAAAATTAGGCCGATATTGAAAGATTGATTTGGATATTTTACTAGTTTTCATCCGTAAGCGACTTGCTACTTGATTTTATGTTCCGAATAATTTAGACTGTTTTAATATCGCTTTTCTACAATCAATTTCAATAAATACTTTGGAAATAGGTAATGAATGGCCTATAATCTCTTTTGTATAAATGTATCACTTAAATTATTCCCTGTGAACTTATAAATCGTGAAATACTTATGTAAACATAAATAACAATATCCTGTATAAAGCTTTTATATTATTTGAATAAGCCAACGAAGAATGTACGAATATACGACTTCTATGAAATAATGATCAAAATTTTTTCATAAACCTATCAACACAAATATATAGTATTACATTTGATTTTAACACATTGTTGATTTTAACACATTGTTGTCATGCAGCAATTTCGCAGCATGAGAATCTATCTCATGTCACTATTTTGTAATTGATCATTAAAGTGATACAATTTAAATAAACTTCAATATACTTTATTTATACGTAATGAAATAAAATGAAATTTTGTATATATCTTCTATATAACTTTTAATAATTCTTTTTTGTATAACAAACTGTATAGCGATCACTTATGTGCAACGATACACAGCAGGTGTTTCGCTGGGCTTTTTATTCTACACGTTTTAGTTGAATTCTTTTTTGTAAAACACATGGCCTTTTAGCTCTGAAAACATCAAAGATGAATCAATGTGAGGAGCTCTTTTAAAAGTACCAGTTATCCATTCCCCAACTACTACTTCCAATAGAAATTAGTCGTATCTTATAATTGAGTTTGTAAATTACTTATTTATAATAAATTGCGTAGTTAATTTGTTAATAGTTTATAAATGCGTAAATTAACTCGTGATTGGTCAACAATGTGTTAAATAATACATTTATCTTATTTTTTAAATAATATTATAAAAATATATTTTGTATAAGATAGTATGATATATGCAATATTATCTTTATTTTATCTAATCTCAAAATATTTACATAATTACATATTTTTGCTCGCTACAGATTTTATTATTCATTAAGTTTCTCCACAATGATGTTTGATCAATTTTTGAAAAAGAACAAAACACATATAGTTTAATAAATTTTCTGTACCACGGTAACATATTGGAAAATAAATACATTATATATATATACATAGGTATTTACAAGAGTATTGAGGTTTATGGTTCTATAATGAATGATAGAAGCGTTTTCATTAAATAATCTTATAATTGATTATTAATTGTTAGTTGTTTTTTGCGTCCAAAAATAAAATTATTAATAAATGTGTCACAGGAAAGTTGGACAAGTTAAGAATTTAGAACGTTATTTCGATCTTATTGATTAAACAAACCTATATAATTCTTATACATGTTCTCATCAGTGTAATTAAATTCAACCTCCTCTTTTCCAAATGAAATTTTACTTTATTCTATTCCTGGTATTGACACAAAATTATCTAGTAATATTTTAAAAGCTTTATCATTGACGAACCATTCTTTAGTGGTCTCAGTTATCAAAGAAAATCTACTGCTATCCATTTTTGTAGCCATTATATCTTCAGTGTTGTCTTCTTGCCTTGTTTATCAGGTTTGTTTAATCAATAAGATCGAACTAACATTCTAAATTCTTAACCTGTACAACTTCCCTGTAACACATTTATTAATTATGTTATATTATCATATAAGTCTCATTAAGATAATTCCAAATAAAATGCGTTCTTGATTAACTGTCAACACTTCAAATATAAAAAATCATAATATGGCTAATAAAGACAGAGTATGTCAAAACTAAACGAATATCATGTTATTATTAATGAAAAAATCAACAATGTATATCAAATTTATGATATGCATATTGCCATCAAAATGATGTGCTGTATACACATATAAAATATATTTATCATCGTATCATACGAATTTGTATTATATGCCATGTACATCATAAATATGTACTCGCATACGTAGATATATATATCTTGTGTGTATATATTTACATACTTAAAATAATTGTTTGCTCTGTTTTGTAATTGCCCATAATGAAAATATTACGGATAAAATATTAAAACAATTTACCCATGTATATTTTTCATATAAGAAAATTAGTATATACATATGCACACACAAGTATTACTATCATGTTACAGTAATACTAATATTCAAATTGCATGTGTATATTTAATTCTTATTCTTTTGATTTTATGTGTCATAATAGTTTGTTATTATGACATATAACAATTAATTATAAATAATCTTACATTAAACATGTAATTGATTAAAACATAAAAATCGATACTCGAAACAATTTATAATTTGAATAGGCAAAAAAGAAAAAACAAAAATATGATCAAATATCCGTTTTATATACCGCATTCATTAAAATAACATGCACGCACGCATCCACACGTGTATATGTACATCACACATATTTTAATATCATAACTACATTTGAATCTTAACTTCCACAGGCAAACATAACTTATATTTTAATTGAATATTTTCCCTTTCAAAGAATCTGCTGAACGTGAAGATTACGATCAGATTGACATTTTCATATATTTTATTATTATTATTATTATTATTATTATTATTATAATTATTATTGTTGTTGTTGTAATTAATTATTGTAGGCTTCTAGATATTATTATAACATTTGCATTTCCACAACATTAAAGTAAAACAATGAGCAATACTTTAAAATACAAGGAACATCGATAAATTTAAAGAACAATTTAAGTCGTTAATGCAGTATTACTCTTTGATTTTTTTTGTCTTTTTTACTTATCAGTATTATCATATTATCTAATACTGCATAGTGTATAAGCTTTAAGTTTTATGCGATAAAGAGTAATTTTCATGACATATAGCAGAGAATACAATTAATAATTTAATTTTTTTCAAGAATTAATACCCAATCTTCTTTTCTTATTTTTTCTTGTTTTTCTTTTTTAATCTAGAATTTGTGTGTGTGTGTGTGTTGTGTTTCACAAAAACATCAATGTTTACCAATATTTTATTTTTTTGTTAATAATATTTAACTTCATTGATATAGATACTTTCTATTTTTTTTTTTTTTAATTCGTAAACTGTACATTTTTGTGATTTGTATTATTGATTTAGCCCGAATTAACATTAAATAGTCTAAAAATTAATGAACATATTTTCTCAGAACAGACACTTCAAACTGATATTAAGTCTAGATACTCTAGACTATATGTAAACAGTTATTATTAATAACATTTATAGTGGAAGGGGGGGGGGGCGAGTCGGAGAAATTTTTACATTAATATAACAAGAATTTCTCGTGGAATTAATTTTGATTAGAACTTTAATATTATATATTAAATACCTATATTTTTCATAAGAATTTTCATATTTTCACTGACTATTTATAACACTTTAATATTTAACTTTATGGCAAAAATTTGAAATGGGTAAAAAAGAAAAAGAAAAAAAGATGGGGAATGGAAAAAAAGAAAAAAAAATTAATTTTTGCAATATGTTGACATAAATTATAATTTACGTTCATTGCCATTTTTGTACGATATTTTGTTTATTATAGTTACTTTTTGGATGGATAAATGATTTATTGGACGTGTATAAGGTATCATGTGTATCCAAATAAATTTCATTAATGTTCTGGACAACGTGTATGTTGAATACGTGGGCCACCTTTCATAGGATTTTCAGTTTCACATACGTGAACAACAATGCCTGGTTGCCCAGAACCTCCGGGATGTAATTCATGACTACCACCTGATATGGTAATAACACAAATAATAATAATAATATCAATGATTTGTTAAATAATATGAGTATCTCTCTTACTTTTTAACACGTTAAGCGCCAAGCTTCTTTTATTAAGCTTTCTGTTTAGGCCATGATGATTTGCCAGTCTTAGAAAGACATAAGAATGTCAGCTATTGATGACCGACACGACCTAGATGGAAAGTCTAAGGCCAGTCCTTCAGGACTGGCACGGCGTCTAACGTGTTAATTTATATTGGGTTGGCCAATAAGTATTAGTAATTTATATTTAATAAATAAGATTAGTATTTTTTATTAAAACTGTAATTTAGTAATGTTGTATTTCAAATTTAGTATCTTATATTTAACCCTTTTAGAGTAATATAAACACTATATGTGTTCGGTAAAAGTTTCAAGTGTAGACTATGGATGCAGATATGCGTTTGTTAATATGAATTCAAAGAATGAAATGTTGGTTTGTGTATTGTTAATTGTTTCGAATCTTATCGCATCAAAATTCTGCTCAAAAAAAAACAATGCACAAAAATTTCAGCATTATTTATTAGCCAATCCGATATTTTACTAATAAATATAGTAAGCACAATAAATATGGACAAAACATAAATACCTGCAGACAAGTTTGCAATAGCAGCCAATAAATCATGATTGACTAAAGGTTCATTTTCCTCGCGTGGCTCCCATCCCACAGGTGGAGACGATGGAGGAGAAATTAGGAACTGCTTTGTAGGAGCTGGCGGTTGAAGATGTTGATCTTCCATATCTATCCAATATGAAGTCTTATAAATTAATACTAAGAAGCAGATAAGTTCCTTTGTCTCCACACATATAAGTACATCAATTTATTATCAATTAATTTCATAAATTTCTATTACATACCTATCGGTGTTACAGGTTGTGCAAAATAACAATTAATATCAGTTTTACCAAAGTGAGTTTGATGTAATTGTATTCTAGCACTAGCTGCTGCACTTGGAGAATTATAGTTAACTCTCATTCTTCTAAATGATTTGAAGTATTGAAATGTAGCGTCTTCTCCAAATTGTTTAAAAAGATCTTCTATTGTAGACTACAAAAAGGTATATAAAAATTATATACTATATTAAATCTAAAATCTATATTCTGATAAAATAATATAAATACTTTTAATTCATCTATTTTGAACACTCCAGGATCTACATTTGTAACAATAACAGAAGTCGGTAAATCTTCATCGTGAACCAATTCATCTATTGATCTTGAATTCAAACAACCGTGTCCTTGTTCTCCTTCAAAATCAAGTTCCAATTGTTCATAATTAGGATGCAAGTTAGGTAAGCCGTCAACTTCATTTATTATTATATTTTCTGTCTCTTCAGATTCTTCGTCTCCCAATACATCAGTACTATCTTTTTCCTCCATTGTTACTTTCTAAAAGCTTTAACACAATAAAATGATATTAAATTACACAATCAAACAGATGTATATATATATATATATATATATAAATGGTAATGATACAATAGAATTCACAGTGAAATAAAATTAATAATTTTAAGTAAATTGTATTTACAACATAAAAATATAAAACATTTATATATAATAGTTAATAGAAAAAAAATAAAATTAAATATAAAACATAATATAATACCATGCACAAGTGCGTTATTAATTAATTACAAGTTATTAAATAATTTACAAAGCTTATTTTAAATGATATTAATGAACATATTAAACATTATTAAAAAATATAAATTAATATAAAAATTATGATAAAAATTCTTGACTTAGTTGACAGTATACAACGGGGGATCTTGCCTGTTTTAAAAATGTAGAAATTCCTACGTACGATTAACTTCAATACTAATGTTGATGTAATATCGTGTGTTTTAATAATTATTACATAAATACTGTTTTTCTTTACGTCGTAGCATGTAGAAAATAAATAATTACATTAATTATAACCACTAAGTCTTGCGCCGACAGTTTTAACCGATTTTAACACCACATCGTATTTACCATTTTATTATCGTTGTAACCCTCTTTTTCATTTGTGACCATAGAAAAAACAAAACCAAGATGGACACAAATCTTCGATAAATCTGTTTCTTAAGTATTTCATAATACTCAACAAGTATTATTAATCATTTCCAATAATGTTATCGTATACTAAAAATAACCAAATTTAAATGAAAATAATCTATTATAGAAATTCAGGAAAATATATCAATTACATAAGATTTTCTTAATCCAAGTCAAATAACCAATTAGTATCTAGTATGAATACAATGGTCAGACGTGATTGGAGACAGCAGCGCCTCTAGTTGACACTGCCGTAATTAAAATAAAAAAGTAGAATAACGAGAGTAAGAGCGAGAGAGATGAGAATAAATCGATCGCAACGCCCCTACTTGATATTGGTGTAACCAAAATAAAAAAGTAGAATAATTCTTTCATGATGGGTGCTTCCACCTTATTGAAAAGTTCTTTGATTCAACTTAGAGACGCCGAAATGTTTTATGTATGTATTACTTGTTTATTTCATATGTTTTTCTAATAATTGCATTATATTATAAATATAAATTAACTTATACCATTGTAAAATATTTCCTCAACGTTTAGTTAACTTAAATTTCAGGAGCTCGAAGAAGCATGATTCAATTAAATCGTGACAAGGGGTGATTACGGTTCATCGTATTACGTGGCGTATTAACAAAAAAAGCTATATATAATTACATTACATTTTCATATGACAAAAAGATATAGTGCTTGATATAATATTATTTATCAAAAGTCTATAATTTACTTTCTTTGCAATACAAAATGGCATTACCATCGAATTATAAGCAAGTATCAATGGCTACATCAAACGTTGTTGCATCCAATCGTAAGTACCATTGTTTAAAGATTTTTCAATTTATTCTTTGTCTCGTATATAAGAATTTACGATTAGTTCTTTTTCTGAACATATATAAAAAGATAAATATTATTCTATTCAGAGCGTCTCAGAGCATCTGGTGGAAGTAGTAGTAGTTCAAATACTAGTGTAAGTATTACCGAATAAAATATGCTTTCATTAATTTTATCCAATAAAAATTCTAATTAAATAATAATAATAATAATGTAACGATAAAAACATATATTTTAGAAGGATACACAAAGTCCTTTTATACAAACTCCTCATAGTCATCCAGGATTTACTCCTCAAAAAGTAGGAAAAAATACAAATGTGAGTAAATATCAAAGATTTCAGTTAACGCTTTGATGTATATGAATGCATATATGCATTCAGCAAAAATTATTAGTGTGAACTACAGGTGCATATATGAATTTGACAAAAATTACCGACATGAACTATGGGCTCATATATACGTTGGTCAATTTTCTTTATTTCAAGAATAGTATAATTAAAATTATCTTTTTATAAAATGAATACATATGTATCCCAGTATATTCAATCGATAGAGTTAACACTAGCAATAAAGTATTTAGAGCTCAAAGGGTTAAAAGATAGTTTAAGGAAATTAATAATTATAATAATATATATTTATGTATTATGGATAAATAAATAGGCAGATTCTCGGATGCCAAAACCACCAAAACCGCCTGAAAAACCTCTCATGCCATATATGAGGTACAGTCGGAAAGTATGGGATCAAGTAAAAGCTCAAAATCCTGAATTGAAACTTTGGGAAATAGGAAAAATTATTGGTCAAATGTGGAGAGATTTACCAGAAGAAGATAAAACAGAATTTATTGAGGAATACGAAGCAGAAAAGGTATACTTTATGTTTTTATATCATATACAAAACGTACTAAAAATTTATGGTACAAACTGAAAGGTGGTTGATTCTTCGTACAGCAGTACCTGATTGGAACTTCATAATCAATTTTCTTAAAAAAAATGTCTTATACAGTAGGCAATCAATCAACGAACAGTTCGAGTAACGAGTATTGTCTTTGAAGAGATTATGTTCGCTAAACGATCATCCACTGTATTCAAAATTATTCATCCTTTATATCATATTGTATTTACTTCATATTTATATAATCCTTACATTTTATAATTTAGGTAGAATATGAAAAAAGCTTAAAGACTTATCATAATTCTCCAGCATATTTGGCTTATATTGCTGCTAAAAATAGAGGAAAATCAGGTTGGCTATACATATATATTATTAAAATATTACTTGTTATTGGTATTCAATTTAATAAAAGGTTTTGTAATTTATTTTTTTATCTAATACAGCATTATGTGCAGCCCAACAAAATAATGATGATCGAGAAAGTCATGAACGTTCATCTGGTAGTAGTAAAAATCAAGCTGCGCAAGATAGAAGGATTGATATTTTACCTGCAGAAGATGACGATGGTATGTTCGATACATATTAATATGATCAAAATCTATATGAAATACTTTTGTAACTTTTAGATCAAGATGATGGATATTCCGTAAAACATGTGGCATATTCACGTTATACAAGAAATCATCGTCTTATTAACGAGATTTTCAGTGATACCGTTGTTCCTGATGTTCGTTCTGTAGTTACAACTCAAAGAATGCAAGTCTTACGCCGTCAAGTACAATCTTTAACTATGCATCAGGTAATAAATAAAATATAAAATTATTATTTTCTTACAAGCAATATTTTATTCATAAAATTGTTATAATTATAGAAAAAATTGGAAGCAGAATTACAACAAATAGAAGAAAAATTTGAAGCAAAAAAAAGGAAATTTATTGAAACAAGTGAAGTATTTCAAGAAGAATTGAAAAAAGTAAATAATTTCATTTTGTAGAAATTAATTTTATGGCAAAAGATAAACAAATGTTTCCTCCGGGTTATATGAAAAAATATTTTTGTTAATAATTTGTTTTAAATCAATGACACGGTCCTGCATAAAACATTAATGTTATTTAATGACGTTAATTAATGATATATGGTACACAGTGTATTAATAGATAAACAAAGACTTGAATATTATAAAATATTTAGACTAATGTCCAATTTGTTTAATAGTTTGGATCACATTGAATGAAAAAGAATTCTTTTAGACTATGCACAAAAATGAAAATAAAAAAGAAAGTAGAGTAATTGCATGTAACGATACATCAATTTTTTTCTGCTATTGTTTTTCTAATAAAACATTTAGTATACTTTATACTTAGTCTATGCATAGCAATATTCTATCATTATTGATGTTTTTTTGTCCATAAAGCGATTTTATTTCTTTCGTCGCCCTATAAGCAATCAAAGAGACCGATTAAAACTATATGCGGAAAATTTTCTTTGGACCACAATACTTATACTCTATTGAATCGTGGGCAGGACATCACTGATTTAGAATGTTTATAATAAAAACATTTATTACAGCACTGTAGGCCAGCAGTAGATGAAGAAACATTTAATAAAATGGTAGAACGACAATATGAAGTACTTAGAAGAGAGAGATTAAGAGGTTCGGAAGAAAATCGATCTGATGGTCCTGCATCAAATGAATCTACACCAAATTCTACACCTACTCCAACACCAGCTTCACTCAATGATGAACCTACATCTGAAGTAAGATTTAATAATTCGTATATTTTACCATTAAAATGTTAAATTTTGTTATGCATATATTTTGCAGGCTACGGAAAATGAAACGATTGATAAAAAGACCAATGGTTTCGAGAAACCCAATAATGAAATAAAGAAAGAAAATTCATCGCCTCCATATGTTGACACAAAAACAGAATCCCCTACTGTACAAGGAAATCAGCCGATAAATCAACATGGATCTAATTCTAATATGTATTGTGTATCTGTTAGTCCAATTCAACAACAGCAACCACCACAACCGCAGCAACAACAACCAACACCGTCCTCATCGATGTCATTAATACCACCACAACAGCAACAACCGACGCCATTGCCATCAATGTCACTGATATCACCACAACAGCAACAGCAGCAACATCATCAACAACAGCATCATCAACAACAGCAACAACCACATCAACAGCCACCTGTTCAATCTCATCAACAATCGCCACCACAATCACATCAACAACCAACACCTCAAACACATCAACAGCCATCTCAAACCCATCCACAGCCACCGCTTCAAACTCATCAACAGCCAAACCCTCAACCTCATCAACAACCATCTTCGCAGCCTCCACAGCTACCATCACCCCAATCTCATCAACATCCTCCGCCTCAAACTCATCAGCAACCACCACCACAATCCCATCAACAACCACCACCACCTCCATCTCATCAACAACCACCGCCTCAGCCTCAGCCACATTCACAACCACCACCTCCAACTCATCAGCCACAACTGCCTCAACCACATCAACAACCATCATCTCAAACTCATCAACAGCCACCACCACCACCCCAATCTCATCCACAACCACCACCTCAAACTCATCAATCACCAACACCTCAATCTCATCAACAACCACCTTCACAACCACAGCAGCAACCAACACCCCAACCTCATCAACAACCACCGCCGCAACCTCATCAGCAACCACCTCCTCAAAGTCATCAACAACCACCTCCTCAAAGTCATCAGCAACCACCTCCTCAAACTCATCAACAGCCACAACCTCAACCCCATCAGCAGCCACCACCACCACCACCACCACCTCAATCTCATCAGCAGCCACCACCTCAATTTCATCCACAACCATCACCTCAAACTCATCAACCACCGCCGCCGACTCAACCACATCAACAACCGCCACCTCAATCTCATCAACAACCGCCACCTCAATCTCATCAACAACCGCCACCTCCATCTCATCAACCACCACCTCAACCCCATCAATTACCACCTCAGTCCCATCAGCAACCTTCACCGCAACCTTCTCATCAACCTCCACCTCAGTCTCACCAACAATCGCAATCTCAATCTCATCAACAAACAGCACCTCCAACATCGTCGCAGCAACAACAATCTAATTCTACTACTAATTCTGCTGTACCTGTGACTGTAAGCGCTACTCAAAACATACCAAATATGCCTCCAGTATCTTCGCCTGCACCTCCATTGCACAATCCTCATCAACAAGGGATGCTTTCAAACCATTCTATGTCACCGCATCAAACATCTCAAGGAACGCAAGGAACACAGGTTCTTCCTCAAGGACCAGTAAATAATCCACATACATCGCCTATAATACCACCTAATCAAGGATATGGCCAGCAATATCAACCAGGACCTGGTTCACAGCCGCAAAATGTTCCACTCGCCCCAAGACCTCCACATCCTTCTTATACTTATTCGCAACAGCAACCTTATCATCAACCTTACCCCCAATATGCTCATCCCTATTATCATCAACCATATTCTCAATATTCGCCGCACACTATGAGCCGTCCTCATACACACAGTCCACATAGTCCACATAGCCCACATTATCACCCACAATCCCCTCATACTGTAGGAGAAGGTAATGCAGCTAATAATAGTGTATCCAATTCAGGTACTACTTCTGGTTCTACTCCCGATAGTAATAATTCATCTTATTCTCCAGCATCAGGTCATTGTGAAAATGAACGTACTAATGCTCCTGACAGTCAGGAGACTTCTACTGACATGAAATCAAGCTCTGTGTAAAGGGTATATTTCTTTTCTTTTTTTTCCTGTCTTTTTTTTATTTCTTTCATTATTACTTTATCCATTTTCATGCTTTCATTATAAAAAATAGCACACTTAAGTAAACACAACATATAAATAAATATAATAGATTATGTAATTTGTATAATAAAAATGTAATCTTTTGATTATCTATTGTAAAATTGCTATGACATTCTACAATACAAGATTATATTTAAAAAAAAACAACGAGTTTATTCATATAATATAT